CGGCCGTGGGCCAGGCCGGTCCTCGCGTCTGTGTTCTTGCGTGCTCTACCCATTTGGGTTGAAACCATGTAATTCGTATTGAGAGTATTTTTCAGGAAGATGACACTATCTTTCCAGACAGCCAAGTCAAGACAGAGACACTGCAAATTAGGGTTTCATTTTAGACCCACTCGATTTCTGAGAAGGACAAGGTCATATGGTAATAAAATAGAGGAGCGGAGAGAGAGCTCTGTGGCCAAGAGTGGTGGAGGTATTTTGCAAATCATGACGAGACTGACTGCAGCCCTGGCTTTGTAAGCATTCTGTTACTCCGTATAAGATGAAGGCATGCTCACTGTAGAAAATGGAGAAATTTGGGGAGGGGGTAAAGAAGGTTTCTAGATTGCTTCTAAACCACCATGCACAGAGCACAAAGAGGACATACGTGTTTCATGTTGTTCTGGACACAGTCCTGGACCTTTTCTCTTCATTCAGCATGAGGAAAAATCTTTATGTAAACTTACTTTACCTGTCAGGTGTAGCGGTCCCCACTTGTATTCCCAGCTGTTCAGAAGGCTGAGGCAGGAGGGTCAGATGTTTGAGGACAGCCTGGGCAAATGAGCAAGAACCTATCTCAAAATAATCAAAAGGGCTGAGGCTGTAGCTCAATGACAGAATGCTTGTGTAGTGTTTGTAGGGTGCTGGGTTCAATCCCAGCACTAGGGGAAAAAAAGAAAACTCACTTTACCTTGTCCTAGTATATTTATTTATTGTGCAGACCTAGAGATTGCACGTGCCAAGCAGCTATCCACCACAGTGTCACTTTCTCCAACCCTGTGTCTTATTTAAAGTTATTCTTAAGCAATTCTTTTCAAATTTGTAGTAATTTTTATTCTAGAAGAATATATAGTCATTGGAGAAAATTTAATAAGTAGAAAAAGGCACATAATAAATATTTTGTAATCTCATTCATTAGAGACAATCACTAGTGACATTTTAGGGTATCACAGGCCTATCCACATGTTAAGTTATGAGTGTTTTACTCTTTCCTCTTTCAGTGACTGGGCAGCATTTCATCCTAACCAATCACTTGTGGTGTTACAAGGTTGTGAATAGTAATAATAGCTGGTGACTTGTGCCTATAATCCCACCACTCCAGGAGGCTGAGGCAGGAGGATCACAAGTTGGAGCCCAGCCTGGGCAATTTAGCAACTTAATGAGACCCTGTATCAGAAGAGGCCAGAGATGTAGCTCAGTGTAAAGGCTTTGGGTTCAACCCTCAGCCCGGGAAAAAGAAGGAGAGGAGGAGGAAGAAGAAGAGGAAGAAGTGGAGGGAGGTGGACAGACGATAAAATGCCACACTGTACCATTAAAGCTTCCACATTACAATGAGGCCCATGAATGCGGTCCTCAACCAGCTGCTGCCAGGAGGGAGGGATTCTGGGTGAGCCCCATCCACCTGCCCCGCACCCTGCTTAGCATCTCTGTCAAGGGTGGAGCTTTACCTCTCCTTTCAGAAGGGATCCCCAAAACATCAAAACGCCAACAGTGCTAGCCTCAGTGTCTGTTTATTGGACTCAATTTTAAGCATCCTTTTTTCCTTTGTACTGGACACTGAACCCAACGAGCACTGAACTACATCCCCAGCCATTTTTATTTTTTACTTGGAGACAAGGTCTCCCTAAATTGCCCAGGTTGGGCTTCAACTTGCAAACCTCCTGCCTCAGCCTCCCAAGTGGTTGGGATTAGAGACATGGACTACCGCTCCTGGCAAAGTAATCATTCTTTACATTGTCCTCCTCACTTTTTGTGGCACTGCTTTTCATTTCTGTTTATCTATTAGAAACAAGAAGTTTCCTTTATATTTTCTTGCTGTTGCTCATTCTTCACCATTATGTGGGGATTGCCAAAGTCCCACAGAGCTGAGCACACTGGCTCGAAGTCTCCAGCCGGGAAAAAGCAGTCAGCCATGAGTCTCACTTCTGTGTTCACCGAGCTGTTTCTGCCGTTCTACAGCTCGGTGTAAACATACTTATATATTACATATGCGTGTGAGTCGGCTTCCTTCCCTCAAAATAATGTCTGTGCAATTCTTCAACGTATTCCGATGGATTTCCACGCAGTTACTCTTCTCTGCTGTATCCTTCTGCTCATTCAGACCCATACCTACGGGTTCAGCTCCCCGCTGGTGCTCGTACCTGCTCCCCGCCTCTCTGCACCGTGCCTGTGTGCCTGGACAGGTGTCATAGCTACTTCACAGGCCTCCCAGCTCCTCGCTGCTGTCCACGCCTTTCACACTTGGCCTCAAGCCCTTCAGGGGCTCCCTGTTGTCTCCCACCTGGCCCCTGCACATTTGTCTTCCTGCTCTCTAAGCTGCATTAACAGTAGCTTTTCTGTTTCTCAAGGGACCTTGGTCTTTGCTGCCTGGAGTGGTTTGCACAAGCAGCGTCCTCTGCCTGAACAGCGCGTCCCCTAGTTAACTCTCCTGCAGCGCGACTCTTCTGAACACACGCACCCACCTGCCGCCCTGGGGAGTGCCTCCCCTCCTTACAGTCTCAGGTAACTCCCCGGCTGCTCCCTCCTACATTTGATCACAGTTAGATGTTTCATACTGCTGGAAAGGTTTTGTGAAATCGCTTTTCTGGATTAGATCGCAGACTCCTGCTGTATCCCCAGAACTTCCTTTTGCTTCTTTTGCTTCCTGCTGTAACCCCAGAAATTCCTGCCGACCCGAGGCCCTTCTAGCAGATCTGACACACTTCCGGTGCTCACAGAATTTGTATGCAAAACAGGAATGAGGAAGTGCTCCCTGGAAAATCTCGCATTGCCAGTGACTGTGACCTCTGCTGAGCTTCTCAGGGCAAGCACAGTGCGGCCTTCTGTCCCCTTATCTGAAACTTCCTTATTAAATTCAGTCTGCAGTTCTTAGTCTCTGTCTCTGCTTCTGTCTCTGCCTCTGTCTCTGCGTCTCTCTCTTTCTCTCTCTCTCCAAAGTCCTCATTCCTGCACTTCCGTCTGACTGGACACCCAGCGCAGGAAGGCAGGTGTTGCCCTGGTAGAGATCCACACCCAACGTGCTGGGGACTCAGAAGAGGTCCTCCTGCACGTGACGTGTAACACTGCCCACCCCGAGGCAACTGATACGACTCCTGTCGGCCTCTTCCTTTCGTCTAAAACTTGGCGCCAACAGTCCTTACTTTGCTTATTTGCAGTAAATAAATGAGTTGAAGATGGCAAGGGAAGGAAGAGAGACCAAGGGCATTAGGAATGTGGCAGACCTGAGTTCGAATCCCAGCCCATCACTCTCCAGCTGTGTGAGTGGGTAAGTGATTTTCTCTTTTGTGGCCTCAGTGTTCTCATCTGTAAAATCTGCATGGGAAAAGTGCCTGAGAATTAACAGTGACATTTGCGAAACATCAGTGTAGACAACAAAGGCTTAATGCATGACCTCTAGTAAGAATGAGCACTGAAATACAAGTTAAGGGCAAGCAGAGTCCTGCTGCCCACCTGAGCTGCGATATCAGGGATGGAAATCTTAGGAGCTGTGTCTTGCTGCACTACGTACTAACAGAGGCTGACAGCTTCTTGCCACCTGCATGCAAGCACCGCTATGGCTTTGCCATTGTTGTCTATCTCCGTGCCCGGTGCCATGCGTCTGTGAGCAACACCCTTCGGGTAGAGGCTCCTAGTCCCAACCTGCTTGGATTAAATGACGAGAACCAGTTGAGTTCCTGGCACCGGTCTTGGTGCTAGGAATACAACAGCGAACAAGGCAGACCAGAACCCCAGCCCTGGTAGAGCTCACAGTCCACACTGCAGATGTAGGGAGAAACTGAGCTTAGTAAGGACCAGTGTATTGATTTCCAGTCACTAGCCCCGCCCTTAGCAAAATGCATGGTACACTGACTGTTTTTCTCTGTACTGGGAATTGAACCCAGGGCCTCCACACCAAGCTGTATCCCAGCCCCTTTACTAAATTATTTTATTTTGATCCTAGGTCTCAATAAGTTTCTAAGTTTTCCAGGCTGAGCTAGAATTAGCAATCCTCCTGTCTCTGATTCCCAGAGAGGTGGGATTATAGGCACTGGTACACTGATTTGGGGGTAAAATTAGGAATAGTGAGATAGAAATGGGAACTTCCTGTTCCAAGGTCTCTCAAATGTACTGCCCCTCAAAGTCTTTGGCAAAGAAGGCAGAAAGTGGAATTGGAAAAAGATAACTGGGTGCTCTGAATCAAGGTAGGTGCCTTCTTTGCAAACCAAGGAGATTTGCGCACACACACACACACACACACACACACAGAGAGACACACATACCTCAATTACACCTTGGGAAGCAGAGCTAATGAAAGCTAGATTGATTCAAAGATAACAATTAGGGAACAATTTTAATCCCTGCTGTGATTGAGACACACAGTTTATTTTTAATTTGTATCTATAATAAAAAATAATAATTAAAAGGGCTGGCAAATTGCAGCTTTTGCGGAGAAATTAGAATTGCGCTGCCCATCCTCAGCCCATCGGGAGTGCGGCCTCCTCGCCTGCCTCCCGACTCTCCTGCCCACACATCCCCACCACGCGCTGCTCCTGCTCTGAATCTGTAGGCCCCATTTTAAATATAGAGCTTCGTTAATTAAAGGACACGAGAAGTGAACTTTTTTTAGCATCTACTGTGTGCTGGAGCAATGCTAAACACACGCAGGTAGATTGTTTCATTTAACCTTCTTGACAACCCTGGCAAAAGGATTCCAGCTTGCTCTCATTTTATGGAGATGAAAACAGACACCCGGGTACTTGCCGAAGGGAGCCCAGCACCACAGTGTGGACCAAGGTACTGCACTCCTATCGCACACCTTCCCCCATCTCCGCACAGCTTGCTTCGCCGCTGCAGCCTGGAGGTGACGTCCAAGACCAGAGAGGAAGGGAGGTTCACGGGGTTCATGCGTGAGCCCCTGGCTGATCCCTCAA